AGTATTTGTATTACCAATTTACCCGATTATTTTCGCGGATCATCAAGTGAGTCGATACTTTTTTTAGGGGAGTGTATGTATACAAGACCCATCAAATCCTGGTATTCATATTTATAAAATAAATAAATTTATTATATTATCGTTAAACTTATTATCATCATAATTGTATGTATATATCATGAATTTAGATGTTGATTTAGCATGTGCAACAACAGACGTGGTAAAAATTCAAAAAGCATTTAAACGAGCATACCTACGACTTGTTAATAGAGTGGGACTACTTGAAAGGAAACTTAGACCAGTTGGTATTAATCATGTTAGTGGTTTCAAAATGGTTCAATACTTTCATCTATCTTGTTTGTTTCAGAGGATTTACAAATATCTAGAAGAAAATTAGCACGAGAGTACCACGATGATGACTTAAAACAATTGGTTCAAAGAACAGGAAATGATCTTGGAACATTATTAGAGCTTGATAATTTTTGTAACGTGATCAAGAAATATGAAAAAGAAATTAAATATATGTCCGATCAGTATAAACTTACGAGGTAAAAAAAATTTCTCTTATTTAAAAGTTATTTTATAACTTCAAATGTATATATTAATGATTATTTTAATTTAATGAAAAAAAGTTTTTAGTTAAAAAAGAATGAACGCAAAAAAAAAATACAAGTAATAATTTTCCTCTTTCGCAAAAAAACAATTAAGAATATAATTAAAATGCATAATGCTAGTTTCCAAAGGCGAGATTGTACTGCATAATATGGAATGTATATAATTGAACTTCTTTGAAGTTGGTTGCAGTGAAAATTGAAAAAAATTAAAATTTTTATTTAAAATAAAACCAATGCATTAAACCCACAAAAAATTTTAATATTATTTCTTTATCACTTGTGTGTCATCCTTATTCTGAAAATTTTTTTTTAATTCTTAGAGTAAATGTATACTTGATAAAACAAAATGCCTGGAACAAAAAATTTAATGTTCGTTTCGTTTGAATGACATTCGTAATCTTTATGATGGTATGGCATTGAAGTTGGTATGAAAACTTCATTAGAAATAAAATTGCATTATTTTGTTAGAGAAAATCTTAGAGTAGTGGCAACTTTTTATTTAAATTCAATATATTTCGCAGAGAATAAGCCAGATAAAAATAACATTTGTTTCCCGTGAATAAACTATAGTTTCTTTTAATACTATCGATCTTGAGCAAAGAGAATCCACATCTTACTTTACCCGTTGATGAATTTGTTTGAAAGAATATGTTTGTAGGAACAATTCTTCGCCTCCATGGATCATCCAATGCACATACAGTTTCTTTCACAACTGAATATATAGACATGCCCTCTGATATTGGGTGGGAATTTTATTCCTTGACTAATTCGCTCAATTGTTAGTATTTGTTGTATGCTAGAACTACTGTTTTCTTTTCGGCAGTCAAAGGATTCTGGGCTGGCATTTTTTTCTTCCCAAAGACCGAATTTGTTAAACAGTATATTAGATTTCCACTTTCTTCGAAGATTTAAGTCAGGACATACAACTTGATTAAAAAAATATACTTCATTTGACTCCAGATTCTGTTCTATTTCAGCAAGACTGCTTATAGCGTATCATAAATGGTCTAGGACCTTGATAAATTCATTACACAATGGGGTTGTGCTCTTTTCAACATTTAAAAAACTTTTTAGGATCTGTTCAATATCAATCAAGACTGTGAGATCTATCTAAAAGAATATTCGATTCCGTTATTAAGCCAAAATTGACCTTATCCGTAATATTTGCATCCAAAGCATTCTAGGAACTCGGTGAAATATTAATTTATTACATAACACAGAAATCTAATAATGTGTTTATTGATCCAGTGGGTAGAAATGAGAGTTTATTCTTGCTAGTCCACGCATCAATTGTAAATGATAATAAGCCAGGTGATTTCTAACACATCAATTAATTTATTATTATTGGTTGAAGTTGAATCAACCGATTTCTTTCTATCAACTACTGTCCAATTATCTTGAATGTCTTTTGAAACAGGTGTAGGTATATTATTAATAATTTTAACAATTGGCTGTTCATGACAATCGTCTCCATATTCTTTTTGTACAAAAGTGCAAGTCATGCGTCTTGATTAAAATAAAATTTTTTATCCCAGACTCTGTTTAACATCAGCAAGGTTGTGGGATCTATAGAAAGAATATTAGATCTTTTATTTACTATACCAAGGTTGACCCTGGGATAATCCTTTGAATAATGACCATAATATTCGCAAATACAGTTGCGTCTTGATTAAAATAAAATTTTTTATCCCAGACTCTGTTTAACATCAGCAAGGTTGTGGGATCTATAGAAAGAATATTAGATCTTTTATTTACTATACCAAGGTTGACCCTGGGATAATCCTTTGAATAATGACCATAATATTCGCAAATACAGTATTCTAGACTAATCGTGAAATTTATTGGCCTCTCATGCTAATACTAATAGATGTTGTTGTAGTTTCTATCACTTGATCACGTGATACATCTTGATATGTAGAAATTAGGTACAATTACTTACCCATTTATTGATACAATGTGGAAAGGCATGTTTTGCTGTGAACCCATAAATTATTTGGAAATTTAAAGAATTCCTTTGGTCTTTTTGATTTTTTATTTGATTTTTTCTCTTCATCCGTACTAGATACCAAATTTCGGAATACCTTTGCTAATTATTGTTATTATTATAATTAATAAATAGCTCTCAAAACAATTATGTTCTTGTGAGCTCCTAATATATTCGTTCCCTTTTTTTTGTGTGGCATTTTGTTTAAGGAAAAAATTTTTGATCGGGTAAACAAACACGTATTTTAAAAAGACATCATCGTCTTATCGAGTTCTGACTGTAGTAGTAGTAGATTGAAAATCGTGTGATTTTTGCCCCGTAAAATCGTTTTGTTGAACAAAATATTCGCGATTATTATACAAAAAGGCTTATAATAAATAAAGAGATATTGCTTAATAATTTAAGGTCGTCTACTAAATCCCTAGGGTCACCAGAAAAGTACAGGTACAGGGATCAACAAATTTCACCTGTACCCTGTACCTTTCAAGATTCACTCACTAAATCTAGGCAAGTGGTAGCAGCATAGTGGACTTTCGATTTTAACACTAAATGTGACATAAAGTGACTATCATATTTATATTGTGCAACTAACAAAATTAATTGAAAAAGTACTTTAAAATACTCATTAATGTAACATAAAAATT